GTTCAGCATCTTAGCTGTAGAGGGCAGTGTCACTGGCCCTCATATGTGGGATCCGAACCGGGGCCCTCTGGCATCCCAAGCCAGCTCTTAACCATCATGCCACTTAGCCGGCCCCCAATTTTTTTTTATTTTATTTAAATGTCATTGTTTTTTAACCTTATCTACTCTCTTTTAAACTGGTGGCAAAACAGCCATGATTTTTTTTTTCAATATAGTTATATAAGTAATCTGGATAATGAAATCATTTCTTTTATGGCTTGGGTGGGGCAGAGAGGCAGGCAAATCAGCAGGCACTGGTACAGTACTGATAGCCAGTAGCTTATCCAAATTTACAACAAGAAGCTTTACATACAAATCCTTTGCACTAAAAGGATGATGTCTATCAGAGGGAAGTAGGCAAAATGTTGATGTGAGTGTATTCTGTTCCCTGCCATTTATCTTTTCCCTCCCCTGCAACTAAGAGAATCATATGAGTAATATGCTCTTGCTTTCCCGTGAAGCAGGGACAAGAGGCAAACAATAATATAGCAGAGTGGTTGAAAATGTGGACTTTGATGTCTGATGGAATTGGATTTAAGTCACCATTCTTCCACCCTGTGTGACTTTGGAAAAATTAGGAAGCAGGTGAACGTTGGTGGCAAGATAAACATGAGCTCTGGTTCTTGGCCAGTGTCTTGACTTTCATTCTACCAGGACAAACCAGAGTGTATATATAATGAGAATAGTTTCACTGTGTCAGAAGAATATCAGGTTCTAAGAGCAGTGGAGCCTAAATTACCAGTTTCTAGTCTATCATCACAGCCCAAAACTCCAGTACGTTGCATCTGAGAGGGCTGAAATTCACTGGCTAAAAAACACTGTGTTGCTGGCAGACAATAATAGTTTTTTTTGTTTTTAGACTGTAGCTGTGTCAGTGTGTTATGATGCCGTCTCGTACCAACCTGGCTACTGGAATCCCCAGTAGTAAAGTGAAATACTCAAGGCTCTCCACAGATGATGGCTACATTGACCTTCAGGTAAATGCAGAAGGGAGCTGAGGAGACTGGCTGGCTCTGTTTCTGATGAATTAGCAGGAAGACCTTCCAGGTAGAGGTTTTGCCAACTAACTGTCCCTGGGGATTAGAGGGAGCAGCATGAAAGAACTCAGCTCTGAGACCCTTTCAGCCATAGCCTGCAGAAGGAGGGACCTTGGCGGAGCAGTTTCTAACCAATATAAATATTGTCTTTTTTTAAGAATTTTTTGTTGTAATGCTAGAGCCCAGTTATTGCAAATTTTATTTAGTCTATCTGGAAAATAATCAGATAGTGTTTTGTTAAGCAGAATTTTTTTAAGGACTGTGTCATCAGTTTGTTTACACTTTAGTCAAAGCCAGTTCATCTTTTAAGGGAGAAACTAACTGCTAAAGCCACCTGGAAGTCTTCCTTTCCTGATGTCATGAGATCCAATTTATTAAAGATATTTTTTGTGGCAGACAGTAAGTAAAACAGAATATTTATTAAGTTTGTATCCTAGCCTGGTTATTTTTCCTAGAACACTTAAAGGCATAGCATCTCCTTTTGCCCACGTTTCCTTAAAATAGAATAGGTCGGACCAGGGCCAAGGAAGAAGTAGCAGGAAGCCATCCTGTAAGTATAAACAAGTCAATTATTCTTTGTACTTTTTGGACCTGCACTTGAAGGAGAGAGATTTTTTCTTTAAGTATGTCTGGGAAGCTTCCAGCCAGTTACGTCAGATACAACCTTGAGCTTAACCTAAGAAAGTTTGTCTCTGAATGTTGAGCTTCTTAATAAGGCAGGTTACTTGCTCTGTGGGGCAGGCAACTAATGCTTTAGAAAAAGCTGTTTCTAAAACCTTTGCCCATTCTAGAGAAGGGATAAAAACCTCAAGTCCTGGGAAGTCTGCGCTTTTTTCTCTTTTTCCCTTTTTGGACGCCCTGCTCTTTTGACCGCTTCTTCCTTTTTGAGCCTTTTGAGCCTCGCCTTTGTGTGTGGCCCACTCCAAACTCTTTGGAATGTAATTTCTTTTTTTTCTAAAGATTTTTATTGGGGAATTGAGGGAAGGGGAACAGACAAGTTGCTGTCCTTTTGTTCTTCAGTCTAGTTGTGGAGGACGTTGCTTCACTGAGTTGGCACCATCATTGCACTCTTCCCAGGCGAGGCAGATCAGTCACCGGCTTCTAGACTGCTGTTCACAGCGGCTGCTGGCTACACACAGTAGCCCATGGCAACCCACCTGCTGTCACTGGCTACTCACAGCAGTCCAGCTCCATGTTGAGCTGTTGTTCAGCATCTTAGCTGTGGAGGGCAGTGTCACTGGCCCTCATATGTGGGATCCGAACTGGGGCCCTCTGGCGTCCCAAGCCAGCTCTTAACCAACACACCACTCGGCTGGCCCTTTAATTTCTTTTCTAAGAATGGGCCCTTGAGCCATTCTCTACTGCTCGGGCCTGCTTCTACTCTTTGAAATGTACTATCTCTTCAAATAAACTACTTTTTCTGTACTTTAAAATAAATAAATAAATAAATAAATAAAACCTTTGACTACATGCTAACTTAACTTTGAAAGCCAAAAACCACTTACTTTCTTTACTTCTCCAGAGCACGAAGTTCACTCTTGAATCCCTGTATATTAGTATATCCTTACATATACCAGGCATTTAATAAATACATGTTTAATCAGTGAATGACCATAAAGTGTCTTTTGTCTTTGTAAGAACATAGCTTCTTATGGTCTGTAGAATGAGACTAGAAGTCAGAAGAATTAACAACGTTCTGCAGGGACTCCTTGGAGTGACCGGTATAGCAATAACTAGAGCTTGATCTCCTGCTTGTCCCTTTCCTTTCTCTCCCAGAGCTGCACTGGGTTGTAAGACTTACCTACCATATTTTGCCAGGTGTAATCACCTTTTGCCCAAATTTGTGAGGGAAAAATAAAGAGGTACATTATACATGGGTAGTACTAATTCCATATCTATATAAATGTTTTTAATTCTTTTATTTATGCTTATGAGTTAAAAGTGTAACTCTAGAAATCAATAATGATATCCATATGCAAAATAATACCCTAGAATACGATAATCAGTTGTGTTGAACTTATGACAGACTTGCAATGAAAGTAAATTCAGCCAACGATTCAACTGAATAAAAAGAAGAGCGACGTATTGTTGTCCACAGAGTAAGTGACTCTGACTTGATAAGATAGGTGATGCTGACTTTATTACCATAGGGTGAACAGTGTGACATTTCTCTTCATACACTTTAGGCGGGAGCTAGCAATCTAGCTGACGTTTTTACAAAAATTATTGGAAAACCCCTTGGAAAATTAAAACAAAAGATTTATTTCCCTGAAAATTTGGGCCAAAAACGTGGGTGCGCATTATACACTAGAGCGCATTATTCATGGCAAAATATGGTAGTTCAAGACACACGAAGCATTCAGATTGGTTCTTATCCTCCCTGCTTTAAAGTACCTGAGCCTTGGTATTTTCATAATGTTCTTCCTTGTCTTGTTTGTTTGTTTCTCTTCCAGTTTAAGAAAAGCCCTCCTAAGATCCCATATAAGGCCATCGCGCTTGCTACAGTGCTGTTTTTGATTGGCGCCTTTCTGATTATCATAGGCTCCCTCCTGCTGGCGGGCTATATCAGCAAAGGGGTAAGCTGAAGGGGTTGTGGGAATGTGCCATGAGGTCTTTAAAATGTGAGCCAGGGCTCTGTTGTTTTCCATTCATATCTAGTACAGCAGATTCCAGCACAAAGAAGAAAAGGTTTCTTTTTAGTTTTTCTTTTTTTTAAGATTTTGTTTTCTGGTAACAAAACATACGTGTCTTCCTTTGAGCAACAACAAACTTCTCTCACAGTTCCTCTGAGGTGGGTGGTGGCAGGACATCAAATTTTCCCTCTGAAATGGTAGACAGTTTTCCCACTGCCATCATTTGGAACAGCAAAGCTGAGCCTGGCATCCAAGACTTCTGACTGATAAAGGCTATAACTGGAGTAGAACGTTGTTATTGTAGCTTTGCAGTGCTACCAACAAACTAGTCAGTGTTCGGGGAGAAGCAGTGAGGCTTGTGAAGGTCTGGGGTCACTGACCAAACCTGGACTTTTGGCTCATGAATCAGATCCTTCTTATATTGGGTTTGGTTGCAGTTCCTACTGAGATTCAAAGTGATACCTTAGAAACCTAAAGTGGTGTTTTGTGGTTCTTGGGCTGTATACAGACACGTCTAAATTGTTTTGAACTAGTACTGACCAAAATTCATGTCCATTTTTCAACACACACAAGACCGAGGGATTATGGTCCTGTTGCTCTGCAGAGGGAACACAGTCAGGAACTGAAACTGGGCGTTATCATTGGAATTGGCAATAGTAGCGCTGTCAAATAAAATTACTACATACGGCTTTTAAGAAGTATATCTAGGGCTGGCCGAGTGGCTCATTTGGTTAAGAGCTCGCTCAAGAGTTTGAGCTCTGAGCAACAGCGGTTCGATGCCTGGCCTGAGCTGAGCTGCCAACAGGTGGCAGGATGGCTCAGCTAAAAAAAAAAAAAAAAGAAATATCTAAATTGCCTTAGTTCCTTAGCTATGTAAAGCTCTTACATGGCCACCAGATGCTTACTTGGTGTGCAGTCCAATATTAAACACCTAATTCAGGACTGTGCCTTTGGTGAGCTTTCATTGCAGCATGCACTATAAATCTCGGGTATGGTGAGTCTATTAATGATATTATAAAATTGGGAGTGGAAGTGAGATCCACATGCAATAAATGTCATTCACTTTTGTGTGTTTTATGAGACTATAAATGAGGATAAAGATGTTCATTAAGAAAATCACTAATAGATTTTGTTTTTTGGTTTGGGTTTTTTTTTCACTTTTTATTAAGACATTTCAAACAAAACAGAAGTAGATGGAATAATTTAAAGAATGCCCATGTGTCCAGTATCAACAGTTATAAACATTTTGTTTCATATATCACCCCAACTTTTTTTCCTGTATAGTAAAGCAAATACCAGATTTACATTTTGTTGGTAAATTGTTAAGTGTGCATCTTTAGTATGCATCTCTCACATTTTTTACATAAATCTAGGGGTGCTGTCTCAATATCATTTACCTTGTTCTATTCCTCATATTTCTTGCAAACAGTTACTTTAGGGACTTGCTTAGTTTGGATTTAGTTTAGCTTAGTTTTGTTTTAGAATATTTCATAAGGTTGCCGTGTATAATATTTGCTATAACACATTGATTCTCAAACTTGAATGTCAATCAGAATTACCTGGCAGACTTGTTAACACACCGATTCCTTGGCCCCACTCCCAGAGATTCCAGTTCATAGGTCTAGCGTGGGGCGTGAGAATTTACATTTCTAATAAGTTTGCAGGTAATGCTAGTGGTCACAAGTACCACATTTTAAGAACATTGCTATAGCATTACATTGACAGGCACATAATAGTTGTCCCAAGTTTTAGCTGATACTAAGATTGATTACTGGGTTCAAGTGTCTTCAACCTAATTTATTTATTATAAACTTCACCATCACCCTTTGCACTTAGGAATCCAGTTTTATCATTTTCTGTATTTATTAGCTGAAATTCTTCTATAAATAACTTTCTCAAATCTGCTATTTGGTTACCCTGAAATACACTGTGTATAGTGAAGGTAGGGAAAACATTTGATTGTTTCTCATTATTAACTTTTATGAAAATACACCTAGCAACCTCAACAGATGACCAAAGAATTATTAGTATCATTAGAAACTCATAATTTTTTTATAGATTTGTACTTCAATTAGTCTACTTTTTAACATATAAATTGTCCCAAATTTGGTGAATTTCCTCCTGTGTCTTTTAAACCTGACCCAGGAAGCCTTTGATAGCTTTCTTGCTTTCTGGTACAGCAAGTTATCCCAGTCACACATTTCTTGCCCTTCAATTTGTAAACAGCCATATCTCTAAGGAGCCCTGGTTCCTTTATGGGAAGTAGATTTAGAGATCATAAACTGGGCATTAATGGTGCTCATTTCTATTGGTTTTCATTGTTTCTAGGCCTTTTCAGTGACAGAATTAGGAAATAGGTATCTTTTAGAAAACAAGGGAAAATTATATACCGGGGGGTGCCATTTTGGGGGTGCCAACAAAATGTATACAAGTGGACACTTTGGTCAACGTTGCTCAAGCAGTAAGTAGTTCACTGTAATCAGAAGTGTCTGGATGCTGATGAACCACTTTGAGCACCTCTTGTAATTGCAGAAGTCAAACGTGACTTATATTCATCTTTTGTTATTGGTGTACATTGAGTATTACAATTTTAATAGTTTTTTTCCTTTCTTAAAATGTGTATACATTTTTTTGACACCTTCTGTATATATAAGTATAAAGATATTATATACTATAGATATTTCCAATGCTAATTTAAGATTAGAGTTTGAACTTAATTTCTTTGATCTTATGTATATATGTCTTATCTTAGTGATATTGGTATAATTACTTGCCTTATTCTGTTTTATACATATAATAGCATTAATACCGCTACCGTTATTTTGAAGCTAAGTATAGAAAGGCTGGATGCACTGGAAGTTTTCTTTGCAATTTTTTAAGTCCTTAGGATATATCCCATTATGGATGTATAGTCAAAATCCTGCAAAAGGTAAAAGAAGTAGAAAAGTAGAAAATGTAAAATAAGATAACAGAAATAGCACCAAGTATGTCCAATTGTGAGAGTTGTACTTAATTTTTTTGGATGTTTAGATAGTTCATCTTTGGCCTGAGAGAGCTCCTTCAGATTCTCTTTCCTTGGGCTTAAGCTCATGTTTATTGAGTCATTGTGTGCCAGCAGAGGACACTTGCTGTACATGTATTACGTCATTTAGTTTTCACTATAACCATATGAGGTAAATACTTCTATTTCTGTTTGTGAATGAAGCAGCCAAAATTAGATAACCCATCAATATACATTGTATAAACAGCCCTGTTAAAAGGAGTGTGTGTGTGTGTGTGTGTGTGTGTGTGTGTGTGTGTGTGTGTGTATGTATATAATGCTTTTTTTGAGGTAGTCAAAACTGATATTTGCCTTTCTTGGAACCATAATGAATACAGGATGCAGTAACCAATTCATTCCTTACAACACCTGGGCTCCTTAAGAGGCCAGAAGACAAAAGTTGCATCAGGCCCATCAGGGAGCCAAAGGTGGCATGGGCCTTCAGCCAAGTTCTGGTAGCCCTGCCATGAGGCAGAGCCTGGCCATGCAGCCAGAGGCTGGCGGAGGCCTCTCAGTCCTGTGAATTAGAGACTAAAGACTGCTTATCAAGCTTGTCGGGCAAAGGCAGTCTATCTGCACACCTGTCAGATTCTAACAGCCTCCAGGGTAGAGGACATGTATGGGGAGTCATGACAATCATCACCTTTGCTCCTGTCCTTGACCAGGGACACCCTGGGTCTGGGGCCTCTTCTAGTGCCTAGGAAGGCCCCCGGAACATGCCTGTCCCTTTCCACCCCCTCTAAGGGACGAGAGAAAAGAGATTTTTAGATTGGGTTTAAATCTTTGGTTGAGGGAAATCTTCCTAAGCTTAAAAACAATGGGAAAAATCACAAAAGAAAAGGAGGATAAATTTAACTGTATAAACATTAAAATTGCACCTAAAAAACCAAGACAAAGAAATTTTGTAAAGGTGAATCCATTCATTCACCTGTATTATATTCACCTCTGTTATTTGTTGGGCGAGGCTGGAGATACAGGGATGAACAAAATCTCTGCCCTGCAGGAATTCCCCCTTCAGGAAATTGTTGAAGCCCTACTGATAAAGAGACTAAACACCATTCCTCCCCCTTTGACCTATGAATCGTGTTCATGGGAATATACACTAAGGAAATAATCTGAAAGGCCAAGAAAAACACTGAAATTTATTATTGTATTCTGTACAGTTAAAAAAAAGTGAGACAGCCAAAGTATCCAACAGTCTGGGGGGAGGGGGTTAAGTGAAATTATGGTACGTCCATTACAATGCAATGTTACACACTATTAGTTGACATATAACATTATATTAGTTTCAGGAGTACAACATTCAATATTTGTATATAATTTCAAAATGATCACAATAAGTCTAGTTAGCATGTATCACCATACATAGTTCTACATTTTTTGTGTGTGTGATGAGAGCTTTTAAGATCTACTCTCTCATCAACTTTCAGATATACAGTACAGCATTAACTATATCATATCACCTTACTGCACGTTACATCCCCAGGACTTATTTATTTTTTTAACTGGAATTTTGTACCTTTTGACCTTCATCCATTTCTCCCACCCCCTACCCCTCAGTGAAATAAAGCCTTCAGTAATATTTTGGCAATAGCTTGTTATAATAAGAGACAAAAACAAGGCACAGAGTGTGTTCACAACTAAAAATGTTGAAGGAGCTGAAGGAGGTAAGCCAAAATACAGATGAACATGGATAATTTATTTTCTTTATAATTTTTAGTACTTTGCAGTTTTTCTACAATTGATAATCAGGAGGAAAATAGATAGAAACCTTTTCCCTAGGTAGTGTACTACCCAAAGAGAATGCTCTGAAAAGTATAAGATACTGATCAATGGATTGGACCCATGGCTTTATTTTATTGTAAAATTTGTAACTTGTGTGGTACTAATGTGTTTGCCTCCTTCTGCCACCAGGGGGCAGACCGGGCCGTTCCTGTCCTGATCATTGGCATCCTGGTGTTCCTGCCAGGGTTTTACCACCTGCGCATCGCCTACTACGCCTCCAAAGGCTACCGGGGTTACTCCTACGATGACATTCCAGACTTTGATGACTAGCACCCACCGCAGCCCTGAGAAGAGTCAGATGGGACTGAGCCCAGCTTTAAGACATTGGGCAGAAACTATGGTTAAGGGCCAATGAATTCTGCAGCTTGCATATGTTTAACAAAACAATGGCCAGGTTTTATGAGTCCCATCTTAAAAGATATTAACTGAGTGAGCTTACAGTTAGCTAATTAGAGCAGGCTTTATTTTTCACCTCCTGGCCTTGGCAAAAGTCCTGACAAGTTTTTCCACATGAACCTCTATCATGGAAGAATAGCAATGTTAATTGTATGGAAAAGTGGAAGGTTGTTCTGTAGTGGGAAGTGTTGCTGCCAACACCCATTTTAGACGTTTCTTTAAGTAGTCTTTATTGTCAGGTTGTTCTTATGGCAAATGGAAGGATGCAATATGTCACATTTCTTACTACTAAGTAATTTATTTTGAAAACATTTTTAAGTATCTTATCCCTTACTCATCTTTAACTTCGTGTTCCAATGGAAGACCTTGGCAAAATCAAATATCAGCCTGGGTGCATCTGTAATATTTTTTGCTTGCTTTCTTATTAACAGCAACCAGGAATTTTTGAAACCTCAGAGCAAATTTTCAAAATGTAAACACTGTTCACCAGTCCTTGACCAGCTCTGATCTGGTTCACCAACAGGTTGGCCAGCATGTAATGTGGGTCAAAATGTTCTGTGCATCATGCCTTTAAGGACCGGACTTTTGGCTGTTTCCTAAGGAAAAATGTAGATAACCCCGTTGTTAGCACCTTGTACTGTGTCATACTGAAGATTGCAAGATTTGGCCTGAACCCCTACAGGACTAGATTGCTTTAGTTTGATTCTGTTTCCTAGCTTGCAAAAAGTGACTTATGTTCAAAAGAAATTAAATTGTCAAAATCTATATAAATCCTAGACTTAAATTGAGTTAACTTTAAACATGTCTCAAAAAACATTTTGATGATTATATGGTATCTTTGATCCCAATACCCAGGACTACTTTCATTTTTATATAACTGGCATTGTAGGTCATACTGCTTTGCAAGCATTCTTTTACTCTGAAGTTGTAGACTTGGATGACTAGAAACCTGGAAGTGCCATCAGCTGAGATTTGGAGGCCTGTGGGTAGAGCAAGTTTGCTGGAGAAAATGAGTTCACCTTAGATGTGTTAAGTTTTAGATGTCTACTCGACATTCCAGTGGAGTTGATGACTAGAGAATTGCAGTGTGCAGGTTTGGAGTTCAGGAAGGGCATCTGAGCAGGAGGTGGAGATTTGGGAGTCAGTTTTGGGGCAGTATCTAAGAACCACGGGGCTGGATGAGATCACCCACAGAGTAAGTGCACATGGGCAAAAAACACTAGATTTCAGGAAATGAGGGACAAAGAGGGTGACCTGAGCATCCTCCAAGGTTGAGTACACTTGTTAATGGGAGGGCAGGCTGGGGAGTCAAGCAGTCTAATTAGAGTTCTTGGGCCTTGGCAGTGAAGATGTGAGGAAATACACACATATAAAGCATTTTCCTGGGCAGTGTTTGCAAAGCAAAGCTCAGATCAGAAGGTTTTGGGCAAACCAAATTACTTGGTTCTTTTTTTTTTTTTTTTTTTAAGATTTTTATTGGGGAATTGGGGGGATGGGAACAGTGCTGGGGAATTGGGGGAAGGGAAACAGACAAGTTGCTGTCCTTTT